GGATCATATGGAAGCTCTGTTTTTAGTAGTTTGAGGAACCTCCACACAGCTTTCCATGGTGATTGGACTAGTTTGCACTCCCACCAGCATTGTAGCAGAGCTCCTTTTTCTCCACATCCTTGCTAAAATCTCTTCTTGCTAGTTTTTAAAATATGTGACATTGCACTGGTGTAAGGAGGTAGGTATTATCATTGTGGTTTTTATTTGCATTTCCCTAATTACAAGTGATGTTGAACATTTTTTCATATGCTTATTGGCCATTTGCATTTCTTCTTTGAAAAAGTGTCTTTTTAGGTCTTCTGTCCATTTTTGACTGCGTTGTTGACTTTGTTTCTGTTGAGTTTTATTAGCTCTCCATAGATCTTTGTCAACAGTTTCTTATCATTAGTATTGTGCAGTATTTTGTGCAAAAAACAAAAACAAACAAAAAAACACCCCAATTAGTGGAGTCTCTCTTTGTTTTGGCTAATGACTCTTGCTGTGCAGAAGCTCTTTAATTTGATGTAATCCCAGCTATTTATCCTTTCCTTAATTTTCTTTGCTTCTGGTAACATGTCCTTAAAGATGTTACTGATATGTATGCCATGTATTGTGTTGCCTGTATTTTCTTCTATATATTTTACAGTTTCAGGTCATATGTCTAAATTTTCTTTTTTTAAGATTTATATATTTATGCTTACAGAACTGGGGTACAGGCCACAGGTGTGGTGGGTGAGGGAATTCATCAGAGACAGAGTGGGGAGCAGAACAGGCAGAATGCCAAGTACAGTACTGAGGGTAGCAGTGGGTGGGTCAGAAGATATCTGCCACGCCATATGGGTCAGCTCCCTGGCTGGGGATCGCACTCATGCTGCAGTGGCTTCCAAGAGCTTCATAGTGCAGTGCTTTAACCTGTTTTGCCACCAGGGAGAGCCCCTTATGTCTTTAATCAATTTTGAGTTGATTTTTGTGCATCGGGTGAGTCTAGCTTCAGTCTTTTGCATGTAGCAGTCCAATTTTTCCAGCACCATTTATTGAACAAATTGTCTTTGTTTCACTGCATATTCTTTGTTCCTTTGTCAAAGATTAGTTGTTCATAAGACAGTGAGCTAAATCTGGGCTCTCTACTTGATTCAACTGGTCTCTGTGTGTGTTTTTGTTCCAGTAATCACATATAATTCTTTGAAAAACATTGGTAGATTTTATTTTTTGCAGCTCTTTTCACAAGATATAATTTTGTGTAGTTTTTCTATGTATTGTATCTTTGGTTATAATGTCAGGGTGGTTATGACATTATAGATTGTGTAGGAAGGTCAGAGTAAGTTTTTTATTATGAAAATTTCAAATAAGAAAAAAAAATGTACATTATACAAATAGTCTTAATTCAATTACTAGATTCCATTAAATTGTGCAAATACATAATTTATCTTCCTCTTATTCATTATCAGTTAGGTTATTGCCAATCTTTTGATATTACAAATGTTACTACCAAGTACATTTTCAACATTTCTGCACAAAAACGTTATTTCAGCAAGCTAGTGTAGAAGCAAATAATACATGTGTTTTTTAAAATTTATTTTATTTGCAAAAGTAATTTTGGGAAAGAGGCATTTAGATACTTATTCAGAGAGTTGTCAATATATTTATGCTGACTTAATTATGAAACAATGAGGTCATGGTCAGTAGGCTTATGAACAAATTTGTTAAGTCTGAACAAATTCCTCCTATTATGAAGTTGAAGTAAATAAATTTTATACAAATATCTTAAAATTACTTTTCTATAACCTCACATTGTAGGTAATAGTTATGAGAAGATATTAAATACAAATTAAGAATGTAAGAATATTACAGGATGAGCCTTTGTCCTGAGTAAGCAAATGTAATGATATTTTATGGTAATCTTTACAAAAATCTTTCTAAACCTTTAAAAGAATCTTTCTAAACATTGTGTTCCCCAATGTACTGACAATCATAGAAGCTTTCATCCTACTCTGACTTGTATTCTTTCAAGCTACAATTTTAGACCACACAGAATCTTAATTGGGGTTTGTGGTTTTATTCCATAATACCTGATGTGAATTTGCTGGGTTTCAAGGCATTTAGTACCTTCAGCTTTCTGTACTGCTAAATGTACTTCAAAGAGATTCTACCACTTTACACTCTCATGAGCTCTTCTGTAGGATGCTCCAGATTTAACTAGCACTTGGTTTTATCAATCTGATGTGCTCATTTGTGACTTCAATTTATGTATTGATTACTGGGGATTCATCTGCCTATTATCCCCCTGGCTTTTCTAATATGTTTCTCAGCCCATTAAGATGCCTCCCTTTTCATGGTTTGTAAGTTATATAACATGCTAATTATCTACGTTCTAACTATCCTGTTAGCTTTTCTTTTTAAAAAAAATATTTATTTATGCACGCAAGAACTGGGATGCGGAGCATGAGAGGATTCTCTAGAGAGAGTGGGGAACAGAACAGGCAGATCTGAAATACACTGCTGAGGAGAGCAGTTGGTGGGTCAGGAGAAGTCTGCCACACCAGGTGTGTCACCTCCCTGGCCAGGGATCAAACTCGTGTTGCCGTGGCTGTGGACAGCTTCATAATGCTGTACTTTAATCTGCTGGTTTCCAGGGAGGGCCCTCCTGTTAGCTTTGTTTATGGTACTAGCTGCCATGAGCTGTAATAGTCAAATCTGTCAATTTTTATGCATTTTCTATCTTCTATAAGAAGCTGTTTCCTATTGCAAATTCCTGAAAAGCATCACCTACATTTTGTTCTACACATTACTTTTACTTTTCACATTTGAATCCTAATTGAAATTTTGCTTTTGAATTCTTTTTCATAAGCTTAAATAGTTGACTTGTACATACTGTCTCTTTCATCTGATTTATGCTGTCTTAATTTGTTAGCTTTTTATCATGTTTGTTTTTTGAGATGAAATCTCTCTCCCCCTCTTTTTCATTAAGTTGTTTACTCCTGTGCCAAATCAGTCATTAGTTTTGCAAGTTTGTCTATCTAGTTGAGCAAGTCTGCTTACATTTTTAACATTTTTTGACTAATTTTTACTTTTTTTTTTTTTAAACATTTATTTATTCATTCATACAGAGCTGGGGTGCAGAGTTGCTGGGGCAGTGAGAGGCTTCACCAGAGACAGAGTGGGGGGGGGCAGAACAAGCAGATCAATGAAGTACACTGCTGAGGGGAGCAGCGGGCGGGTCAGGAGAGGTCTGCCTCACCATGTGGATCTCCTCCTGGGCAGGCGGGGATCGAACTCACGTGGAAGTGGCTTTTCGATTCTTAGTGCTGCGCTTTAACCCGCTGTGCCACCAAGGAGGGCCCAATTTTTAGATAATTTTTGTCTTTCCCTTTACAACTCATATCTCAGATCTTGTCCATTCCCCTTTTCAATATGTATTTAATATGAAATAGTAGTTGTTCTGAGCTATTAGTATAGATTTTTTTCTAACCAACTAATTACATGTATTACAGAAACATTTCCAGATTCTGAATTAATAAAATGTTTTTGCAGTCATTATTGCAATCCTGAGATATATCTTATTTGTTTTTAATTGCTTAATTGTGATAGCTATACTTAGGACTATTTTCCTAAATAACATGATATACAATTTCCATTTCTAGAGTTCTTGTCCAGGATTGAGATAGAATTAATACCAAAGCATAAGACGTGTTGCATATGCTTTTTTCAGTAAACAGTTTTATAATACAAATGAATTCCATGCAGGCTTGATAAGTCTGGTCTCAACTGTGAAGCGAGTACTTAATGATTATCATCACTTAATATGCTTACTAGCTATTAGTATTTTCTAACTTCTTATTCTTTTTGAATAAATATTGACTCTAAAAAATTCATTTCATTTCTATGTCTTGAAATACTTTGGCAGAGTTGGTCAAATTATGTATGATTTCAAAGCCTTTACTGGACGTAACCTAATTTCTTCATGTGAATCCTCAGTGTACTAGAAAAAAAAAATCATATTTGTTATCTAAGCTCAATAAACCCTTCCAATTAAAAAAAAACCATTTTAAATTAGAGAAATGCAGAGAATAATTAGAAACAATTTTAATAGAAATCTGAATACGTGTAATGTCCCTTGAAGGCAATAGATGTTCATAATCTGTCATAAACCTAGAACTATTCATTTAAGGATCTTGATTTCAAATTCAATAGATGTTGAATGCACTATTTACTACTTAGGGCTATTTTTGCACTTGCATCTTCAAAATGAAAATTTTTATGTCGTTCTTACTGAAGAGAGAAGAGCATTCTGCCTGTTGTATGACTGCAAAAACTTTTATTAGCTATATAAACAACTAGAAAAACCCAACCAATCGATTATTCACCTTTACATGGTTTATTCATCTTTGAGTATTACATCTGACTTTAGCATGGATCTACGTGCAAACCCTATCATGTAAATGTGTTTCAGTCAGAAAGTACTGCATACTGAAATTGTTTTTTTTTGGGTGACTTAACTGTATGTTAATAACATTTCCTTTTGTTCTCAGAAATATATTCATAATGGACTTTTGAATTTGGCAAGTTTTTCTAGCACATTATCATCTGAAAATTTAGTCTAGCATTTTATAAGAGTTCTAAGTAGTTTTAATTTGCCAAATAAGAAAGATCTATTAATTTTGTGACTACAGTGGTGCCACTAATTCTTGAGCTCCCTTTAAGTTACATGCCAAAAATCATAAACTGATTATCAAATTATTTTTAATGATTTTAATGACTTAGTTTTGTTGAAAGCAAAAAATTGAAAATGACTATCATTGAATACCTTATTCAAGTCATTTCCCTTTTCTATTCTTTGTAAAGTTAGCCAAAAGTTAAGACTTCTCCATAACTGGTTCCCTTAATGTCCTCCTTCTTATGGAGCTTAACATTAAGACAAAGCTGAATAGAAATACCCCATTAAATTAGAAATTACACAGAATTCATAAAATAATTGTTTTATTTTTCAAAAACAATTATGCTTTTTACATAATTTGGGCATATTGTTATGGAGGAATAAATCCTAATTATATTGTTAGAAGTTAAATGTACTACACTGTAGATCCTAGAACACATTTTGAGATAATACCTATATGTATTGTTTTGTTTTTAAGAGCACTGTTTATGGTATTTCATCAAACTAAGACAGCTGTGAATCACAATAATTGAGTAAGAATAGATAAAAATTTAATTGTGGAAATTAACAGCAAGACCAAAAGAAAATAATTGAGTCATCATTAATTCAGAGGTTATACAAGGTACACTTATGTCTATTTCTTATTTACAATAAAATCCACAATGTTTCTTTTAATTTTAACCTAAATTAGCAGAGATGGAAAAGCTGAGAAATGGCTGAGTGACAGTAAGCTGGAAATTTGGGCCAGGTAAAATAAGGAATTGCTAGCAAAGGTTAATAATGTTTCTTGTAAGAATTTGAAAACTGTCCTAGTAATACAGAACCATGAGCTTACCTGTGACATCTCTTAACTAGCAGATGTGATGTTAATCATGTCAGAAATAAACATGAACCTCAATTTCTTCTTTCTTGAAACATGCCAGTTATGTTACCGAGAGAGATTTAGAACTCATCATCAAGCTGTTTACTATTAATGGGAATGGGGAAATGCAGTATGCTTCAGGGCAGGTTCATGAAAACACACTCTGCTTTTATACCAATACCAAATATTCTAAGATAGAGGAAGCATGCAATCTTATCACTGTTTGCTGACTAAAAATAAGATGCCTTTCAAGTTCTTGCTCTTTCACATGATTCACCTACAGGAAAGATGTTTTTTGAGTAGTCAGGAGATTAAATAAAAAGGTAAGGCCATTAAATATGTCATTCCACTACCATCCTATTTGAAAACAGAACATGTCCACATGGGCCAACATAACCCACTTCTAAGACCACATGTTACTAAATAATGAAAAGGGTGGCCAAAAACACATGCTCAGGTTCAAAGGAAAGAGAAATGACTTCGCATCTTGATGTAGCAGCAAGGTTCTGGAAGAGAAAAATTATTCGGGCCATTTTTGAAAAATGCAACATGCTATAAGTTTCTTGTGAAAAGTCGGAGAATAAAATAAAAAGACAAACAGGAAAAAGGAGAAATGGTATAACTCAGTGAATATGGAAATGTTCTTTATGGTGATCAATTTTAAACAAGCATATATATAGGAATGAGGATCTGATCCGACTCCTTTAAGGCTATTTTGATCTGCAATTCCTTTGGACAGGTGAATATTCTAGGAGAATGAATACTATTTTTTGAAGATTCAGCTAGAGATTGTATTTCTGTTCTTCAATTTTCTAAGTAGTTAAGGTGCATACTTAACAAAAAATTTGTCTTTTATTTAGTATTTTAGTAATTGTAAAAATGTGTATTTTGGAATTCTGGATAAAAATAGGCTAACAGGAAGCAAATTATCAACGTCACAAAAACTTTGATAATGGAATACACTACCAATAATGGCAATACAGTTATGGTCCTTTCCTGAGAACAAATTTGTCTCCTAAGGAAAGTCAGAAAGGATCAGATCCCTAAAAGATGTTGGTAACTTGGTTAAGAAGGAGACTTTACATTTAGATGTTTACAATTACGTTTACAAGCAGTGGAATAAACTCCACATAAACAAGGAGAGCAGTTAGTTTGAATTTCTCCAAATTATATGAATATAATGACATAAAATCTTTGCTTACTTCCTTTATCATCTTTGCCAACAACACAATGATCTATAAGAGATGGCTTAGTAATTATTTCCAAATGTTGTTGTTTCATAAAGAAAATACTGAATTCTTTCTTACCTATAAAGCACAATAACAGTTCATGAAAGTACTCTACTTGCTCTAATTTTCAACATGTGACCTCAATTCATCTGGAAAGACAAGATGTTAGGAAATAAAGACATTTCCTTTAAAATATTGGACGGAAATTACTAATTTACTACTTCATATCTACATCCCTACATATTGAGGAGGTAAAGCAGAACAATTATGTATTAAGCACCTACAATTTATCTGGCATCATTGTAAGAGCTTGGAGTCAATGAGAAAGTAATAACTACCATTTACTGATACCTTACTATGTACCAGGCTCTGGCGTTAAAGTGGTATACACATAAATCTAATCTTCAAACACAATACCTCTATGACATGAGTACGATTAAGTTCTTTACATGAGAAAATTGAGGCACAGAGAAGTTAAATAAATGATCTAGCTAATAATTGGTAGAAGGCCGTGGCCCTCATGGAATTTTATTAATGTAAAATATTTCTCTTCCTTTTTTTTTTTTGTTTCTGTGAAAAGAACTAATGAAGAGATAGGTTGAACTGGGTATCAGATTGGTGGTTAGATCATTTCATTTTTAGATGTTTCTTTTTGGGAAAGTTTAACAAAATTTTTAGTAGTTGTATTTCTTTATACTTTGACCTCAAAAGAGCTAAAAAGCCTGCAAGTTGTTAAGACTTGATTTTGTTTAAATAGTTGGGGGGAAATATTCCTTCATATTTTTCTCTTCATTATTGTAGTTATACTTAGCATTCCTTCCTGTGCAAAAACCAATCTCCAATCCAGATAGGCCAAGGGAACTGACACTGTGTTTCTCAACACAGGTGGGCCCAAGTTAATTATGCCTTGGTCATAGTTACTGGTTCCAGACCACAGAAATATGACCTAAGCATGGCCATGCTGCCTTTCTTGGCCTCAAGAGAAAATGACTCCACAATACAAAGAAATGTAGAGAACTTCAGATGCAGAGCACTTTAACTACACAAGGAAAAGGTTTATCTTAGTCCTTTCCAGTTAAGTAAGTATAAGTACTCCCTTTTTACTTAACAAAGTGGGTTTCTGTTAACTTTCAATCAAGCCTCAATGCATTTACGATAGCATTATATAAAATATGAAGCAAAATCGTGAATGGTTATAATAGACTTACAGTTATAAAGAATATGAATTCACTATTCTCTCCTTCAATTCCTTCTCTATGAATGAAGAGCTGCCCATAGCTTTATAGTTTAATTTGCAAAAGTAGCATGCACAATATTTACCTAAAAACTCTTAAGTGATTACAAAACATTATTTTAATTCTTCTTCTTTAGCATATGACAAAACCACGATATAGCTAAGACAAAATGTTTTATTTCAAAACATTAGAAAAAACATTAAAAGACAAAAGTCCAAAAAAAAAAAGACAAAAGTCCATTACATAGGAGAGAACTTAAATATCTGGAACCTGTAAATCTTCTAAAATGTGGTAGGCACTTCCAGAGAGCTTAATATTGCAAATTATCCTATCAAGTCTTCTCTAATATTTCAGTACTTCATACAATGAAAAATATGAAGCCCCAACTAATTATTCAAAGTCACCATCTTAGAGTTCAACTTAATTACACAAGTTTTGTCCAAGATGTTCCTGACATATGAAGCTTCCAGATGAATTTCATAAATGTTAACAAAAGTATCTTCCTTTTTTGCCTGTGAAAGTCTGAGCATTGCTGTATTGTTGGCTTATATCCACTACAGATACTGGTTCTAGGCCAGCCCAAGGGTCTTCAAGCATTGAAGGCTTAAAATAACTTTCCAACTCATTAGACATTCTTTTTTCTCTACCACGCCCTGATCCAAATGGTGTAGATGTCCTTGGAGAACCCTTTAGGAAAAAAATCATCAGTTAAAAAAACATTTAGCAGAGATAACCTTCTTTATAAGTGGGGACCACATTGCTAAGTTAGAAGTTGTTTCTTGAACCTAAATATGTGCAATTGCAAGGTTCATGCTTCCGTTAATCTAGAATTTGTGTGTAAAAAGTATTTAAACCAAAGTGTCATTTCAAATACTGTTGGATTTTTAATGTAATAACTTTGCAGAAATAGCAATTGGTGATGAAATGAATCATATTTCAATTTTTCTTTCAAATTTCCTTCCTTTTTGGAGAAAAATTACAACGTTTTTTAAAATCCTAGTTTCAAATTTATAGAACAATTCTATTCATGAAATTTTATCGTTCTCCTTAGCTCCAGGGACAAAGGGATTAGGGTTCGTTTAACAAAAACAAAATTGGAAAACCAGTAACTACACAACCCGAGACACACCAGAAATACTCCTATCTCGAGACTGTATTCAGTCTGAGCGGGATGGGAGCCTTCTTCCCCTATTGCTAGGCCTTCTATCGAGAAACTCTGGAACAGGTGCCCATTTGGTTAGAAAACAAAGGCGGGTGAGGGGGAAGGTGCTAGCGGTAGGAAGAAGATACCAACCTACATACAATTTTAAACTCTAGAGGAGCCATATACTGGAGATTCGCTGACTCTCCCACAAGGCCCATGGCAAAGAAGTTGTATTTGGGGGAATGTCCGTGTGAGTGGCTCAGTACTGGTTAGAAGCAGAGCGGAAGGGCTCCGCTCTGAACAGGAAGTACAGCTCCGGCACATTTTAGGAAAATCTAAATAAAGTTACTTAACTTCTCTAAGCCTCAGTTTACTCATCTGCAAAACGGGCTAAAATAACATCTCAGCTCAAAGAGGATTAAACAAAATGATCCGCGTTAAGGGTTATTAGTACCGTGCCTGCATACAGTAAGAGCTCCGCAAACGCTGACTATTATTACCTGGGGGTGGGTCTGCTGCTGCCCCGGGGAGTAGCCGAATTGCTGCTGGGACCCCGCGGGGGACTTGGAGTAGGAGCCAGGGTAACCGCCAGAGGACGGAGACCCGAACCGGCCCCCTGAGAAGCTTCCTCCGTGTCGAGGCGAGTGGCCGCTTCCGTAGGGCCTAGACCGGGGCCCGTAAGGCGACGTGTGGTGAGGGCTCCCGTATCCGTCCCGAGGAGAGGGCGGTCGCGGCCCGCCTCCTCCCGAGGTACCCCGGAAGCTGCTCCCAGTACCCCAACCTCCTACACCCGGGCCGGGATAAGGAGGAGTCGGGGGTCGAAAATTCTGTCGGTGCATAGTCGGAAAACGAAGAAACTGCACTGACCGCCGTAATCTCCCGCCGGAACTGTTCGGAACAATCCTTCAGGCAGAACTGGCGGTTCTCCGCCTAAACAATCCTCCGCCGCGACAGCACATTGGTTCCGACGATACAAAAGTTCCGCTAGAGGCCTATGGATAACTGGATTACTGAATTGGGTAAAGCTAGAGCGTTGGAAGCCAAGAAAGAAGAGGGAAGAAAGGATAAAGAAAAGACGGGAAGCCTCCCAGGAATGGCCTCTGGAGTCTGGCGGTCCTTAGTGGGCCGACTGGAGTTATTCTGGGAGGCAGGCGCGGACGCGCTCACTCCCAACCGGCAGGGGGCGGGGCATGGGGCGGGGCATGGGGCGGGAAAGGGCGTGGCGTGGAGGCGGGCGGGGTCTGCAGTGTCCACTGGCGCCGGCGGGTGGCTGTGGGCCGTGAACGTGCCGCGTTCTTCCCTCTCGCTGTGGCTGAAGAGGTCTGAGTCGCGCGATGCTGGCGACGCTGGGGAGGCTCGCGGCTCTGCGGAGAACCGGCTTTCTCTCCAGCCGGGGTGGCTGGAGGGGGCTGTGGACCGGCCGCCCGCAGTCAGGTATCCTCCTCCGAGACTCGGTCTGGGCGGCGAAAGAACGCCTAGCCCCAGCTTTTCTCCTTTCGCCGGGTGCCGAGGAAAGCCCCCGCGCTTTCTTCAAACATCTGCGGCCGCTGCAGCCCGCCGTTTGTCCCCACCTCCCTGCGCCCCTTTTTCAGGCCGCCCCGGGGTCACCCTGTTTGTGCCTGCGCCTGGGCCGGACCCTCGGGAGAGCGCTGGGCGGTGCGAGTCCGGGCGGACGCTTGCCCTCTTTCCCTCACCTCAGCCCTCTCGTGCCCCAAGTTTATAAACAACTTAAAAAGTGTAGAGCCAGGAAGGGTTTCAAACTGCAGCTTTTACACACAGCTGAGAGACTGTGCTAACTAATGTCGGACTTTACCCCCTTTCTTATTCTTGTTAGATGGAAGAGGGCTTGGGAAGTGGTTAGGAAGCAGAGATAATAATTTCCTAAAAGAACAAAATCCGGTCAATGCAAATCTCCATTACTTAAGACTTCTAGTTAAAAAGAAAAATGTGGCAATTCAGGAATGACATCTCCTGTATAATAAAGCACGAGTTTGTACCAGAAAACTGTTCCAGAATTTTATTTAGATTTGAAATTTCGGTTTACTGTACTTTGATGGACTCTCTTTACTCTTTTCAAACTTTGGGAATGGTAGTCCACCGTCAGGCTTGAAGTTAGGTTGCAAGTAATAGAATCCTAACATCATACTAGCTAGCGATTCCCACCTGTCATACCTTTTTTATTCTCAACCAATCTACTTTTCTGGGGGAGGGAATGGGAAAATGTTAGTAGGCACTAAAATTATTGATTTTGTAATTGGCAAATTACACACAGAATTGAGTGAAAACACCTTGTTATCTTTTTATTTGGTTTTCACTTGTGGAATGTTTTCCCCTAAAGTGATTATCTCCTATACATAAGAACTTGCGGTAGAAATACAGTGGAAGAAATACAAAGAAAAAAAAATTGACAGATGATTCATGACTGTGCCTTTCATCTCCTTGCCCTGTGTGTGTGTGTGTGTGTGTGTGTGTGTGTTGGAGAGTAAATTCTTAATTCTTAAAGAAATAGATCACTTGAGAACAGGCTATTTGGAACAAGCAGTGGTGGGATCAGAACTTTGACTTCTTGAATCCCAGTCATTTGATTTTTTTCCTAAGTCGGCCTGTCTTTTCAAAAAATGCAATATATAAATATATAAGTGAACATGTAAAATTTTTAAGTGGTGCTGTATAGCATTTTAATTTAAATTTAGAGATTCGTTCATAATCTTAAGACTGAATTTTTATGAACGTAGCTAGAATTTGCCGAGGGTTCAGCTGGTAAATCTAGGGTCCCCAGCTATCTTTTTGTATTGAGTTTATTTGTATAGTGGGGAAGAGATAAGAGAGGAAGAGGAGGGAAGTTTTATACTGAGTTACCTGGAGGTGAAAATGTGAACTGAGATAATGGATTTACAATTATGGTGATTACTTTGTAAACTATGAGCTCTCTGAAGAGAAAAGGCTGCTTTTCATTTTTGCGAATAACAGAGGTATGGTTCCATCAAAAAGTGTAGTACTATTTAGGGAGGACTGGCATTTGAAGACAGTGATTTTGTGGAAGATGCTATTTGTATGAGCAGTGTTATTTTCAAGTGGCATGGTATAAGTAAAAAATCAACAGAAGGAACATCATTTTCTGGTTCCCATGAGCCTTTATGATGAGTACCTGAATTAATTGCTTAACTTTGTAATGGTGTGTCTTTTATTATATGTAAGCATATAATAACCTAATAAAATTGAAGTGTACATGTCAATGGGATCTTGCCTGTTTGTTAAGATTGAGGATTTAAGTTGCTTAAGGTTTTTGGGGTGTTTTTTTTTTTCCCAGGGAATTTCATTTTTTTTTTTTTTTTTTTACAATTTAAAGAAAAGATTTATTTATGCATACAGGAATGGATTACAGGCCAGAGGTGCAGGGACAGTGAGAGGACTCCCCAGAGACAAAGTGGAGAGCAGGACAGGCAGAATGACTGAAATACACTCTTGAAGGAACAGCGGGCAGGTCAGGAGAGGTCTGCCATACCTGTGGGTGACCTCCCTAGCAGGGGATGAAACTAGTGCTGCAGTGGCTGAGATAGCTTCATATTGCTGATTACTTGCCTTTAATTGTTGCTCTCCCAGGGAGGGCCCCAATTTCTTTCTTTCTTTCTTTTTTTTCTTTTTTTTTTTTTTTTGGCAAGGGGGAAGGGTAGAATCTTTTAAAAAACCCATATCTGGAATTTCAAAATATGAGAGAAGAGAGGCTGTCTGAAGCAGTATTTGGGGGTCCAGGGCCCTGCTCATTCTGTATTCCTGCTTATTCCCCCCCCCCACAGGAAGCTTCTGGGGCACTCTGAGGAAATTGTATGAAGATCAGTACTTTAGGTGTTAATAAGTGCTGTAAATACTTTGATTAATTTAACTACCTGTAATGAAGAAGTGAATACTATAATGTTGCACGGTCAGGCCTTTCTAAGTCAAGAAATCTAGAACATGGGTTAAAGGGCAAGCCTTGGAAATTAAAAGATGACTGAATAGATTGAGAACTCCTAAAAGTTTATGTTTCAAAAGGTATCAAACTCAGAGCTTTGGAGACCTTTCTGAGGTTGAGATTATAAACTCAATGAAGTTTGTCTTTCCCCTGGAGATATTTATTTACATTCCAAAGTAGATTTTTGCATTAGGGAGGTTACCTTTCTTTGTCTTTTTCAGAGAATGTGGCAACTGGGCAGCTAACCTGTACAAACTCATAATTGTTGGGAAATTTCCTAATATTTATTTGTTTATGCATACAGAACAGGGGTACACACCAGAGGTACAGGGGCTGGAGACAGATGTCTGCCTCACCGAGTGAATCACCTCTGGGCTGGGGAATGAACTTGCACCACTGAAGTGCTTGCAGTGTAGTGTAGAAGAACCTTTCTTATAGTTCGAGTCCCCCCCCCCTCCTTTTTTTAAGTAATATAATACTTTATTTTTACATCATTTTGTGACTTTTTCCATCTCAGTTGGACATAGGCTTCCTATCACCAAATCACCAGTGTGCGATCACCATAGTCTAGTGCACTCCCCCCCACTCTACCCCTATAAAATGTCTCTGGTACATAGTTCAACCCCTTTTATATGCAGCCCTAACCCACAGTCCACAATCTCACTGTAAAAAGCCTATATTGCACAAAGATGTAGGGGAAAATGGTGCATTTCTGGATACAAGTAAATAACTGTTATCTGGTCCAGAAATCTGGTGTTTATTTTTAGGTTAAAAATGAATAAATAGGCCCTCCCTGGTGGCGCAGCGGGTTAAAGCACAGCACTGAGAATCTGAAGCCACTTCCGCATGAGTTCCATTCCCGCCTGCC